GGGTTTATTTCTGGGCTCTCTATTCTGTTCCATTGGTCTATATGCCTGTTTTTATGCCAGTACCAGGCTGTTTTGATTACAGTGGCCTTGTAATACAGTTTGGTATCAGGTATTGTGATCCCTCCTATTGTGTTCTTTATTCTCAAAATTGCAGCAGCTATTTGGGGTTGTTTATGGTTCCATATAAGTTTTTGGAGTGTTTGTTCTACATCTGTGAAATATACCATTGGTACTTTAATAGGAATTGCATTGAATGTGTAAATTGCTTTGGGTAGTATGGACATTTTGATGATGTTATTTCTTCTAATCCATGAACACGGTATATATTTCCATTTGTTTGTGTCTTCCTTGATTTCTTTCTTCAGTGTTGTGTAATTTTCTCATACAGGTCTTTTACCTCCTTGGTTAGGTTTATTTCTAGGTATTTTATTTTTCTTTTTGCTGCACCAAATGGAACTTCTTTCCTTGATTTCTGCTTCTGGTGTTTTATTCTTGGTATAAAAAATGCCTTTGATTTCTGGATATTGACTTTGTATCCTGCTGTTTTGCCAAATTCATTTATTAGGTTGAGCAATTTTTTGGTGGAGTCTATAGGATTTTCTGTGTACACTATCATGCCATCTGCAAACAGTGACAGTTTTGCTTCCTCCTTTCCAATTTGCATGCCTTTTATTTCCTTTTCTTGTCTGATTGCTGTGCCAAAATCTTTCAATACTATGTTGAATAGAAGTGGTGAAAGTGGACAACCTTGACATGATCCTGGTCTTAGTGGAAAAGATTTTAGTTATGGCCTATTGAGTATGATGTAGGTCTGTCATGTATGGCCTTTATTATGTTAAGGAATGCTCCCCACTTTCCTGAGTGTTTTTATCATAAACAGGTGCTGTACCCCATCAAATGCTTTTCCTTCATCTATTGATATGGTCATGTGATTTTTGTCTTTTCTTTTTTATGTGATGTATTACATTTATTGATTTGCGAATATTGAGCCATCCTTGCATCCCTGGGATGAATCCCACTTGGTCATGGTGTATGATTTTTTTGATGTATTGTTGGATGTGGTTTGCCGATATTTTGTTGAGGATTTTAGCATCTATGTTCATCAGCATTTTGTTGAGGATTTTAGCATCTATGTTCATCAACCATTTATCTGGTTTGGGGATGAGGATGATGCTGGCTTCATAGAAGGAATTTGGGAGTCTTCCATGTTTTTGGATTTTTTGGAATTGCCTGTGAAGAATAGGGGTTAGCTCTTCCTGAAATGCTTTGTAAAATTCTTCTGTGAGACCATCTGGTGCAGGGCTTTTGTGTGTTGGGAGTTTTTTTATTACTGCTTTAAGTTCAGTTGTTGTTATTGGTCTGTTCGGGCTTTCCTCTTCTTCTTCATTAAGTTTTACAAGATTATCTTTTCCTAGAAATTTTTTCATCTCACCTAGGCTTGCAAATTTCCTGGCATACAGTTCTTCATAGTAATTTCTTACAATCCTTTGTTATTTCTGTGGTGTCAATTATAATCTCTTTCATTTCTGATTGTGTTTATTTGGGTCCTCTCTCTATTTTTCTTGATGAGCCTGCTTAAAGGTTTGCAAAGTTTGTTTATATTTTCCAAGAACCTGCTCCTGGATTCATTGACCCTTATAATTGTGCTTTTAGTCTCTATGTCATTTAATTCTGCCCTTATCTTCTTCCTGCTACTTGCTCTGGGCTGTCTTTCTTGTTGTTCCTCTAGTTCTTATAGACATAGGGTTAGGTTGTTTGTTTGAAATGTTTCTATTTTTTTTTTTAGGTCTGCCTGTATCACTATGAACTTCCCTCCCAGTACTGCCTTTGCTGTGCCCCATATATTTTAAATTGTTGTGAGTTCCTTTTCATTTGTTTCCAGAATTTTTTTTTATTTCTTACCTAATTTCATTCTTGACCCATTTATTGTATAGTAGCATGCTATTTAATCTTTATGATTTTGAGTGCTTTGGGTTTTTTTTTCCCTTGGTGTTGGTTTCTAGTTTCATTCCCTTGAGGTTGGAGGAAATGCTTGGTATAATTTCAATTTTCTTGAATTTTTTGAGGCTTGTTTTGTGTCCTATCATGTGGTCTATCTTTAAAAATGTTCCATGTGCATTTGAAAAAATGTGTATTTAGCTTCTTTGGGTTGAAGGGCTCCATGTACATCAGTTAAGTCTATTTCATCTAGGGCATTGTTCAATTCCACAATACCTTTTTGATATTTTGTTTGGAAGATCTGTCCATTTTTGACAGTGGTGTGTTAATGTCCTGTACTATAATTGTATTTTTATCTATGTCTTTCTTGAAGTCCTCCAAGATTTTCTTTATGTATTTGGGTGCTCCTATGTTGGGTACATATATATTTACAATATTTGTCTTCATGATGGATTCTTCCTTTGAGTATTATGAAGTGACCTTCTGGGTCTCTTTCTATGTACCTTTTTTTGAAGTCTGTTTTGTCTGATATGAGTATTGCTACCCTGGCTCTTTTTTTCCTGTCCATTTGCTTGAAAATTTTGTTTCCAGCCCTTCACTTTCAGTCTGTGTAGGTATTTTGTCCTAAGGTGGGTCTCTTGTAGGCAGCATATGGGACATGCTTTCTTATGCATTCTCCTATTCTGTGTATTTTGATTGGCTCATTTAATCCATTTACATTTAAGGTTATTATTGATAGGTACTTTTTCATTGCCATTTCATTCCTGTGTTCCTCTCTGTCTCCCTCTTTTCCTTCCTTTCCTTAATGTAGTCCCTTCAGCATTTCTTGTAGAGCTGGTTTGGTGGAGGCATAGTCTTTTAGATTTCTTTTGTCTCAGAAGCTCTTTATTTGGCCTTCTATCTTGATTGAGAGCCTTGCTGGGTAAAGTAGCCTTGGTTGTAGGCCTCTGGTTCTCATTACTTGGAATATTTCTTGCCATTCTTTTCTTGCTTGGAGCCTTTCCATTGAGAAGTCAGCAGCTAACCTTATCAAGGCTCCCTTGTATGTTACTTCCTGTTTCTCCCTTTCTGCCTCTAAAATTTTCTCTTTGTCTTGGAATTTTGCCATTTTAATGATGATGTGTCTTGAAGTGGGCCTCTTTAGGTTCCTCTTGATTGGGACTCTCTGTGTTTCCTGGATTTGTGTGACTTTTTCTCTCATCAAATTAGAGAAGTTTTCCATCATTACTTTTTCAAACAGGTTTTCTATCCCTTGTTCTTCTTCTTCACCTTCTGGTATCCCTATTATATGGATATTATTACTTTTTATATTGTCTTACATTTCTCTTAATCCCTCTTCATTGTTTCTGAGCCTCTTTCCTGTTTCTTGCTCTTTCTGGGTGTTTTTCTTCTGATTTGTCCTTCAACTCACTGATCCAATCTTCTGCTTCATCAATCCTGCTTTTGATACCTTCCACTGTGTTCTTCAGTTCAGAAATTGTATTCTTCATTTCCTCTTGGCCCTTGCTGACAGTTTCTATTTCCTTTTTCATGTTGATATAGTTTGCAGTGAGCTCATTCAGTTTCCCTGTAGTTTCCGGTAGCTCATTGTAAGCTTTTTGAGCTTAAAATGGTTAACTTCCTGATAACCAGTGCTTTGAATTCAATATCTGATAACTGACTTTCCTCTGTGTCATCTAGCGTTCTTTCTGAGGCTTCCTCCTTTCCTTTCATATGGGGATTGGTTCTTTGTCATCCCATTGTTTGTGAGACTCTTCTTGTTAGCTTTAACTTCTTTGATTGATTTGTTCTGGCTCCCTGGGTTTATGGTGTGAACTTCCGTGGTAGAATACCTGTGAGATTTAGTGGTGTGGTCTCCTTGATCTCCAGAGCTCTCTGGTCTTGGGCTGTCATTTAAGTTTGCTTGGTGTTTGTTTGGGTTTTGATTATTGTTGGGTCATTCTTTTGTGGGTCCTTCCTGCCAGCTGTTTAACTGAGGGTCACTCTGTCCACCACCTCTTGTATTTTGTTGTGCTGGTGTGGGAAGGTTGTGTTGAAGCTGGTTCTTCTGTGTGTAGAAAGTTTTGAGGATTCTCTCTTGCTGTTTTTCAGTTGTTTATTTTGTGTAATTTCTCCTCTATTTAGTTGTATTTCCAGACAGGTCCTAGATTGAGGTTAATATGGCTTCCACTCCCTCCTACACATTCTTCTGTTGTTATCTGTTGGTCGTTCCTTTGTTGTTGGGTATCCTGGTCTTCACAGCTACCACCTACTCTTTTTTGTGATCAGTTGGAGGGGGAAGGCAAAATGGTTTAAGACAGCAAGGGAGTATTATATGATATTTACAGTAGCAGCCAGTAGAGAACCGATAGGAGATCCTTTGGCTGTGTATAGTGTTAACCATGATCTTCCACCCAACTATTCACTTTTTAGAAAGTGTGGAAAGAAGATAAGGCTTTTTGGGGGGAGGGAAGGGTTGTGAATTGGATCTAGAAAGCAGTGAGTTTGTGGGAGGTCAGATTCTGAGGTAAGGTGAGAGTAAAGGTAAGGTTAAGTATACTTAACAAGAAGTCTGGGGATTGGTTAGCAGCTCAAGGAATGTCATTAAGAATCCAGGCTGTGTGTTTCTATTCTGTTCTCTTTAGCTGCTGTTTTTTGTTGTTTTTATACTTTTTGCCTCATGGTCACAAGGTGGCAGTTCAGATTCCATGTTTGACATCAGACTTCAAAGCAGGAATAAGGAGGAAAGAGTGGGACTGGTCACATGTGTTCTCATAGTCAGTAAAACAAAAGTTTCTCAGAAGCTCCCTAACGGACTTCCCTTCATCTTTTGCCAAAATTGGGTATCATGGTCAGTGTGGCTTTTAGTTACTCTGGATGGGGCAGATCTAGAGCATCCCTGTCAATACAGTTCTGTTGAGCAGGGTTCTATAGAGCAGGAGGCAGCAAAATTTTAAGAGATTTGCAGATGGTTATTGGGTTAGCCAGCCAGTAGTGCCTGCCACATGTGGATATATAATCGTGTTTTTGACCATAAATAACAGAGGTGACTAAAATTTAATCATGTGCTTTTTCTCTTGGAGAGATACACATCTATTCTTTAGGAATGACCCTCTACTGGTCAGCAGGGTTTCATGTTCCACCAAATCAGGTCTGTAATAAGATACTCAAGTTTTTAGATTTACTTAGCATTATTTTTCTGAGGCAGAGACTATGTCTACTGAGCTGTGTGCCACCACTTCTTCTGCCTAGGTTCTAAGAAGGCATTGCCAACCAATTATAGGCCTGCTCTTGCTGAGTCCAGAGACAACCTTCAAGTCCTACTCATGGCAATCTAGGCAACCACAATTTAGAGCTGGCAAACAAGATAAGGCTTACTTACCACCTCTGTTCAGAGGAAGTAGCAAGCTAGAGGATTTGATGGCTCCTAATGACACAGATTTATAAAACAGGCTTTAGAGCAGTTCTTCCTGAAGTGAGATGCTTCCCTGAAAAAGGGTTCTGTGCTGAACTGATTTAGGAAAATGCTGCCTACAATGTCTTTCTCTAAAAAATTTTTTAGAGTAGTTTATTAAAGACTCTGAGAAGAATTAAAGCATAGACATTTTTAACTTTATCATAGAATTTCACAAAAATTTTGATTACAGAATTTGTGTGTGCGTGAATATGTGAGTTTTTATCCGACAATATAAGAAACCAGTGTAACAAGAGCACATGCTGGAGAACTCTGCCCAGCCTTTCATTCTTCTTTCCCTCCTTCCTTCCAACTTCTATCTCATCCTTGCCTTCTCTAGTTCAATGTTCCAATGTTTCCTGGTGCTGTTTCTGAAACAGGAACCTGCTCGTGTCCCTCCTCCTATGAAATCTTTTGTAGCTCCCCAGTACCCATGGGATGACATTCCACTTCCCAGCAGGGCATACCTGGAGCACAGAATTGGGTTCCCACCTATGGTTTTGTTTCCTCTCTGTACTCTGCCATAATCAGGGCTAGTTTCATGGCCATGTGGCCTGCATAATAGCACAGCACCCTACATTGACAAGAACACCATGCTTTATTTAATGCTTTGTGATCACTGTGTTGAAATTCTGAATAACTTCAAATAAAGAGCCCTGATCATCATTGCCCTGGGCCCTGCCCATAGCCCCTTTCCTTTCAGATATATGCTGACCTTTGCACATACTGCTCCCTCCACCTGCAGTTCGCTTTCCACTTTTCTGGTTAACTCCAGCATGGCAAGAAGTGGTAGTGCAATCTTTATCCACAGAGTGACCAGCAGTATGGATGAGCCTGAGAAAAAAGCCTGATTTGAGTCTGGGTGGAGGCCCTCCCCATATAAATAGTGGCCACGTAAATGCATGAGGGAAGTGCTTAATACAATAAAATATTGATTTTTTTCCTTTTGTTTGGTATATACATGTGACATAAAGTTCAACCAAAACTTACTTTGTGCTGCCTGCTGAAGATTCCAAAATGAAAAAGTCACTGTCCTTTTATATTGCTGAAACTTATATTCTAGTTGAAAGACCCAATGAGACCCATCCAAATAATCTGAGAAACATCACAGGCTGCCTAGATGAATGTAAATTAAAGGCTGTTTGAGCCCTGGTTTAATCTGGATGCTTGGCATGGGTGGAGATCCATTTGGTCAAGCACTTATTTTCCATAAGTATCCCAAGCACATGTGTGGGCTCTCTGTGCACTGAAGGGCATTGCTGTTTAGACAGCAGAAAACCTCACACAGCTAGCACAGTGACAGTTGTTCTGCATTTGGTGGCCTCAGTGATTATCTTGTATCCATCCCCGAATTCTCCAGAAGGACCAGGCCTTGTCGAAGGGTCATGAGAACATATGTTTTTGTTGCCTCCACTGCACACCTGCAGGAACTGGCTGCAGAGGAGCAGCTCTCCAGCTGGCTCATGGCTCATGCAGCACCTTGCTCCCCAGCTCCTGCAGCTCCTGCCCTTGCACTCTCTCCTGCTGACCATGTGTGAAGAGCAGCCTGGCAGGTGGCTACCACTATAGTTGGTTTTGGAAGCCTGCTGGGTTCATCAGGAAGAAGGGGCTGTACACTCAGCCTCGGCCAGTGTCCACGTCAAATGGCTGGTTGGCTTGCTTCTGGGCACCATATCTAAGGTCACTGTGGATCTTTGCTTCTCATGCCAGGAGCCATTAGCTGTGTGTGGTGGTTGAAATTTAAATAAGCCAAAATATAGTTAATTAAAGTGAAATACAATTAAAAATTCAGTCCCTCAGTTTCACCTGCCACGTTCAAGTGCTCAGTAGCCACATGGAGCTGGTGCTGGTCATTCTGAATGGGGCAGATCTAGAGCATCCCTGTCAACATGGTTCTGTTGGGCAGTGCTGGCAAAGATCTTGGGGCAAGCCAAGTTTCTCATGTGGCTAAGACCCTAGGGATGTTGGAAAGAGCCTTGTTACATAAAATCAATCATGTTTATAAAGCAGGAGTCATTTTGCCTATCAAAATTAAACTCTAGGACTCTTGTACAAAAAGTCTTCCCTCACCATGCCTACATGCCCCCCACCCCACCCCGTATGTGCTCCCCTCTGCCATTTTGCACCTGCAGGGCGTCTCCTTTCTGCGCTTGTCACATTGTGACAGTGCTGCCCTGTACCCTCCCCAACACCTAGGAAGGCACTTGGCATGTACTAGGTATTTGATTTGGGCTGGGTTTTCTTTTTTTTAAATATCAATGTATGGTTGCTTCTCCCGCATCCCCTGCTGGGAACTGGCCCCTGGTGGGAACTGTCCTGCAACCCAGGCATGTGACCTGACTGGGAATCGAACCGCGATCTTTTGGTTCACAGGCCCGTGCTCAATCCACTGAGCTACACCAGCCAGGGTTGGGCTGGGTTTTCCTGATGCAAAGACAGGAATATTTATGAAAATTACTTATTGGAAGATAAGTAATTGGAGTGTCACTTATTACTTATTGGAGTGTTCTTGGGAGTGATGGAAAGAGGACAGGAAGTGGAACAAGCCAAGCAAGAGGGTTACCTCAGGTGGAGACAGCCTCAGGGTGACTGCACCTGCATTGGGTCTCCTCAAGGCCAGGGCAGAGCAGGGACTAGGGTGAGGCAGATGAGGTGGCCAAAGTACAAATACAAAGAGGTTAGCATCTTAGAGGAACCAGAGAAGGCTGGGCAGCCCTGAACTCATCTTGGAGACAGGCTGGAGAACTGAGCCATAATTAATGAAGGGGTGATGTGGGTGGAGAGGAGAGGACAGTTGTGGGCAGGGGGACACTATCAAAAGTCAATCAGAAAATGGCTCTCGCATTCTGTTTTACTTATTGGATCCCTGCTTTCTTGGCATGTGGACATGTTGCCCCTATTTGTTGAGCCAGAGGATTTGGTAGGGAAGGGGATCTATTTGTTTCAAACACATTAGACCCTGCCCTCCTTTGGTGCCTCATTGTCCCCTGATGGACACTGAATTGACCTAAAAGCATTTTCATCAGGGAACCATAAGGTAGATTCTGGTCACTAATTGCACATTCATTGGGGCTGAATTAGGTGAGCTACAATGAGGCATAAAGCACACAGTGAGGTTGGGGGAGACAAATAAGCAAGCAAATGTGATATAATGGAATGTAATAGATGGACTTGTGAGTATAGTGATGAGGGAAGGTGCTGAAAGGACATTTACATCTGCCTGAGGGCAGAGGTGGAGAGGATTAGAAGTAGGGGGGCGTAGGTAGCTCTGGGTCTTGGAGGCACAGAGGACCTCAGCAGGGAGTCCCCCAGTAGCGGAGGAAGAGTGTGGGCAAAAGCACAGATGTGCATAAGTACACAGGTATTGGGGTGGAATTCCTTTCAGGGTGTGTGTGGGTGATGGGTACAGAGCATGTCTGAGTGCTAGGGAATGCATTTCTAGGCTCTCACTGTGTGGGACAGACACTTCCACACTGACTCAAACTGACAGTTTAGTCTATATGTATCTATATAAATGCCCCCTCAACCTTGGGATACCAATGTGTGATGCACTTGACCTTCAGGTGGAAAGGAAAGTTGTGGAAGAAAGCTTCTCTGCACAGGAGGACAGGAGCTACCTGCTCAAGAGTATGCTGTACCAGACGAGCTATGAGAGTTCAACAGCATGGACCCTGGAGGGTCTGCATCCCAGCAGAGGTGGGTCGGTGCCTGGGTGGGCCACTGGAGACCATGTGCTGCCATATGTGGGCCAGATGTCTATGCTGTGGTGACAGAGAATGCCAATGCAGAGAATGTGGTGAAGAGAATGCTTCTCTTCCAGGAAGCCCTTGAAGAGAAGGGGCTGAGCTTAGAACTCCTCTGTGTTGTGGAGAAAGCTTCATTTGGAGGTACAATTTAACAGAGATATTTATATCAAGTATAAACTTATAATTATAGGGATCTGGTGGTTTGAGTTGGTAAAACAATTGAAAACAAACAACATAAAAGACAATTTTCTTTAGTTTCTAAGTAGGGGGAAAGTGATTTGTAAAATATTGTTTTTATTGTTACATAAGTTAATCCAAAGTACTGTGGTACCCTCTCACAGTCCACTGGCAAGAGTTCTTTGTACTCAGTTCCAGTCAAAGTCTCTCCTGCCTTCCAGGTCACGTGGCCAAAGGGGGCAACCCAAAGCCATGTGGGCCTCTTCTACCAAAGCTGCAGGGGTCCGCACTCCACCAAAAGCATGTGTCTTTCTTCTTCACCTGGCTGCAGAGATCTCCATTCTGACCAAGCTGCATGGTTTTTTCTTTTACTTCACCAAGAGGGGGTCTGCACTCTGCTGAAACCGCATGGCTGTCTCTTTCACCTGGCTGCAGGGGTGTGCCCTCTTGTCAAAACCGCATGGTTCTCCTCCCAATGGCTGCCATGCCTGGGTTTAAATCTCCACACCCATCTTCCTTTGCAGCCCCATTTTCGACTCCTCCTACAATCAATTACACCTGCCAGGACTCTCATACCCTCTCAGTTTTACTGAGCTGCCATCATTAGTCTGGGCAGTTATGGCCCCATGTTCTGGAGCCAATCTTTTCCAAGCTCTCACGCAGGCACTGTCCCTCAGGGGAGCAGCCCCTAGTTACATCCTGGGTAGAAGCCACTCCTTTCTCCCTGGCTCAAAACTTGGCCACAGCTACTTAACATATCTATGAAACCAGTTAAAGGTTGTAGATATATTAAATAATCATTCCAGAGGTTAGCTGCAAAACTGTTGCTATGCGAAACAGCTCTCAATGGCCCTGGCTCTATTTGTTCCTTCCCCCAACTCACACCTGTGAGGGGGAAGGGGTGAGGACATCTTATATGTCTCTCCAATATTCCTATACACTTTGAATTCTGGACACCATTCCAAATCTTTTTTTGGGGGTCCCCCCTTGGCTGCACCCTGTATCAGAATGACCTTTAAATCTGTTCTCTACTTTTCAACTGTGTCAGAGATTAAAAAAAACCAAAATACAATCATTTTTGTTTGTTGTCTTTAAAATAAGGTACTCTTTCCTGTTAGGCTTTATCTTTCCCTTAGAACCTCCTTCAAACTTCTGTCACTTTCATTTCCATTTTCCACATGAGGAAACAGACTCAGAGAAATTAAATAATTTTGCCAAGGTCGCACAGCCAGTAAGTCAGGATACTGATATCCACACTCCAGTCTGTCTTATTCAAGAAAGGAGGGCAGATGACCCAGCTCTTTGTCTCTGCTCACACCCTCTACTATGTTATTGAGTTAGTTTCAGAGACAAGCACAGAGATCCAGAGTTCTCTGCAGCCCAGTCCAAGCACCTCAACACATAATCACTGTAACCTCTCTGTTAACAGGTAAGCAGCAAGGTGTACAGGGCTTTGAGCTTGATGTGGGAAATAGGGTGGTAGGTGTAACCTATTTCTCTACTGATTACTGATGAGAAGTCTATTGCTTCTCTAGAAGAAACTGACCCACTGGTAGGTGAAAAAGCCACATTTAACCAGATACCAAGCCAAGTTGATGAGGTGCCTAATGGCAGGTGTGCTGTCTGGGAATCTGTCTCCTCTGGGAACCAAGAGCAGGCTCAGTTATGGAACAACAACGTGCTTTTATATCCTTATGATTATCTATTGCCATGTGAGGCACCATAACAGCCACAGACCACAGTGGCTGAAAACAATGATTGATGTAGCTCTTGATTCTGTGAGTTGGGAGTTTAAGCTGTGCTCAGTTGGGAGGTTCTTTTGGACTCTGCTGGATACCACTGTGCACCTGTGATCAGCTACTTCTGGGGGGATGGCTTGCTATTGTCTTGGAGATCCTAGCTCTTTATCAGAAGTCTAGCCCATGATTGTCAGAGGGAGAAAGAGAAGGGAAGGGGAGGGGAGGGGAGGGAAGGGGAGGGGAGGGGAGGGAAGGGGAGGAGAAGGAGAGAGAGAGGAGGGGCACAGAACTTTCAGAACTAGCCTCCCACCATTTTCACCTTGTGGTATTGGCCAAAGCGAACCACAGACCAGCTTGGATTCAAGAGGTGGGGAATAGACTCCACCTCCTGATGGGAGGATGGACAAAGTCACACTGCGGCCTTAACTTCTCTAGGCCTTGGCTTCCTTATTTGAAAGTGGATATAGTGCCTCCCTCATATGTGTAGGGTGAAGATGAAGTGGTGTGCACATCCTGACTTGCTGAACATCTGCATGTGGTGGTCTCTTATTAGCTGGAAGCCATTTCCACTGTTAATTGTTCCTCCTATTCTGTGACTGCTGGCTGGCCGGTGCTCTTCCAGCTGAAGCTTCCCATGACCTTCAGGAGGGCAGGAGGCCCAGCTCCAGATCCACTGTCTCTGTAGCAGCGCATCACTCATGGCCAGAAACTCCTTCTCAAAAGTGTTTCCCGAAAAGAAAGGGAAAGGTGAGCATGAAAGAATGGATATCCACAAAGAGATTTGAATGGGGAGTGGGGGATGGGTGACATAGCAGCCGAAAATGGCAGGGTCTTCTTGGAATACCAGTCTTCCTGGGCTGAGATTTCTAAAATTGAACTTAAAAACCCTGAGACATTCAAGTCAGGGCATTAGGTGTTCATTGAGTGGCCTTGCTGTAGTAAACGATGTGTAGGATAGGAAGTTGAAGGTGCCAAGTCTCACCCTTCAGGAAGTTGACAGCTGTGGTGGAGAGGTGGCAGAATGAGGTAGGTGGTGAGAGAGCTGACAAGGCCCAATGTACTTGGAAGGGGCCTTCTAAACTGAGGGGAAATGCAGGGGCAAAGATGTGAGTGGGAAGGACAGGGAAGAGAGTCTGTGTTCTGGTTGGTACATAGGATAACAGGGTTAGAGCCGCAGCTGACAGAGGGACGGATGACAGAGACTCCTGCAGTGTGCTCATACCTGTGGAGACCCTCGACTCCTCACAGGCAGGCTGCTCTCTGCTGAAGGGCCTGTGCTGGACAGTGAGATTGGGCGGTCCCAGGATGCACCCTCTACCAGAAACAGCCCTCAGAACAATTTTCAGGGCTTAAAAAAAGCATTGCTTCCTCAAGGGTGACACTGCCATGGGCTGAAATATTGTTTTAATACCCACATGACACCTGGGGGAATAGCATTCCCTGGAGTGGTGACAGGTCCCTTATGCACAGGCTGTTTCCTGAGGAGACTACTTCCACCGGGCCTTCTGTTGAGTATTTGATCCTTTGGGAATGTCAGATCCAGATGCCCTCAGAAGGCCTTTGTCTGCCTGTCACAGAGACACTTGTTTCAAGCTTCTCAACAAATTAGAGATGAGCTGAGCCTGCAGTAGCCTTAGGTCATCCTCCTTCTGCATGGCCCTGGGCTGCCACCCTCTTAGCCCAGACCCCATTGCCCTCCAAGGCTGCTCTCAGGTCCTCATGATCTCTGGGGAACAGAAACAGGTTCATCTTCTTTGGCTTTTCTTTCTCACCACTCATTAAAGACACTTCTATTGAGTACTCTCTCAGGATGTGCACCACCCCTGGCTGGACCTTTGGCCTCTTGAGACAGATGTTCTGTTGGGTACCCTTGGGGGCACATTAGAAAATCCACCCAATTATCTCAGTCACTGATATTGGATATGGGAGAGTTTATTAACCTCTTAGAGCCTCAATTTTCTGCAAAATAAGTTGAGACTCTGTACCTCACAGCATAATAGCAGGGTCTAAATAATGCTGGGTATTAAGGTATTTCCCAGGTCATAAATGTGATACAGACATAAAGTATCATGTTATGAGAATGGCTGCACCTGCATGCCATTGATTCAACATCCATAGTTAGAGATAAGTTTTATCTAATCTAAATTAAAGTTATCTTTGTTTTCAAAAGTTCTTACTGCATATAGCATACATTTATATTATACAAGGTACTTTTCAAAATATATTTTATTGATTATGCCATTAGAGTTGTCCCATTCCCCTTTTTCATTCCCCTCTACCCTGCACACCCCCTCCCCCACCATTCCCTCCCTTTAGTTTATGTCCATGTGTCACAAGTTCTTTAGATTCTATATTTCCCATACTATTCTTACCCTCCCCCTATTTTCTACCTACCATCTATGCTACTTATTTTCTGTAGCATAGAAATTCTGTAGCAATGATTATGTAAGCATGCATGAATCTCCCCCTAATCCTCCTCCCACTCCCCTGTCGCTAACCCTCCTTGAGATCTTCATTTCTATGTTTCCACTCCTGATCTAGCCGTCCGATTAGTTTGCTTTTGTTTTAGGTGTGGTTCTTAATAACTGTGAGTTTGCTGTCCTTTCACTGTTCATGTTTCTTTAATTTCTTTTTCTTTGATAAGTCCCTTTAACATTTCATGTAATAAGGGCTTGATGGTGATGAACTGCTTGAACTTGACCTTATCTGAGAAGCACTTTATCTGCCCTTCCATTCTAAATGAAAGCTTTGCTGGATAGAGCAATCTTGGTTGTAGGTCTTTGGATTTCATAACTTGGAATACTTCTTTCCAGCCCCTTCTTGCCTGTAAGCTTAGTCTCTTTTGAGAAATCAGCTGACAGTCTGATGGGAACTCCTTTGTAGGTGACTGTTGCCTTAGCTCTTGCTGCTTCTAGGATTCTCTCCTTGATTTTAATCTTGGTTAATGTAATTATGATGTGCCTTGGTGTGTTCCTTCTTGGGTCCAACTTCTTTGGGACTCTCTGAGCTTCCTGGATTTCCTGGAAGTCTATTGCCTTTGGCAGATTGGGGAATTTCTTCTTTATTATTTGTTCAAATAAGTTTTCTACTTGTTGCTGTTCCTCTTCCCTTTGCCCTATAATTTGGATGTTGGGATGTTTAAAGATGTCCTGGAGGTTCCTAAGCCTCTCCTCATTTTTTTGAATTCTTGTTTCTTTATTCTTTCCTGTTTTGTCATTCTTTTTTCTTCCTTCTGGTCCACTCCATTGATTTGAGTCCCAGTTTCCTTTCCATCACTATTGGTTCCCTGTGCATTTCTCTCCATTTCACTTAGTTTAGCCTTCATTTGTTCCTCTAATTTGTGACTAAAATCAACCAGTTCTGTGAGCACCTTGATCACCAGTGTTTTGAACTGTGCATCTGATAAGTTGGCTATCTCTTGGTCGCTTGGCTCTGGGGCTTTGAGCTATTCTTCTTGAGCCATGATGTTTTGGTCTGTTCGTGCCTGTTACATATGAGGGGCAGAGCATTAGGTGTTCACCAGGGTGGGATGACCCAGTGGCTGGGTTGTGATGCTGTATTTGGGGTCAGGGTCAGAGAGGGGCAATGGCTTCTGTTTTGCTCTCTCTCTGATTTCGGTCCCCTCTGCTGCTTCCCGCAAGCAAATTGGGCCCTTCTGGTGCTGGTTCCTGGGTGTGTGGGCTTGTGCATCCTCCAGGACCCTGTGGGTCTCTCCAATGAACTCTCTGTGAGCCTGAGAGCCTCTCCCAGCACCTTGACCCCAAAAGTTTTTCCGATTGGTGCTTTTAGGCTTTATTTCCCAGCGCTGGGGCCCTGGGTTGTGCGGTCTGTCACACTGTTTGTTTTTTCACCTGGTTTACCTGCATGCAAATGTGTGACGGCAGTCAGCCAGCCGCCTTGGGCCCTTACTGGGTATGCCCGTTGCCACCCCATGCCTGGGATCTGCCAACCACTGACTGCATACCTGGATCGGTCTGGCAGCTTTTTCCTGCACAACCCACTCTGCCAGTCGCTGACTCTGCCTCTCTTACCGGTCTGGATGAATGGTTTGTTGTTGTTGGACTTCCATACAGTTCAATTTTCTGTCTGTTTTGGTTGCATTTTTGTTACTAAATCTTTGTTGTCTTTAAACTTGGTTGTGCGAGGAGGGACAGTGTTTCCACTGATGCTTACATCTTGGTCAGAAGTATATAAGGTATTTTTATAATTTTGATACACACAATGATTATGTAAGCATCATGAATTATGAAACATAATAAAATAGACACCCAGCTTAACTAGAACATTGCCACATCACTACCCTCCTGTAAGGCTGCTGCTTCAAACTGCCCTGCGTAACTAGGGACTCGGGCCCATTTAGCCTCGTGTCACTGAAACCTGTTGACTGCTGGCTCTGGGAAAGGGAGTGCTAGGAGGGTGTGGGGGGAGGTGTGCCCACAGAGGAATCCTAGTCCCAAAGCTGAGGGGTCTAACCCCATGGCACATGACTTCTCTTCTCTACCTTGAGTGACCCTGGCTGTTTCCCCACTTCTCCAGGCTGGTATTTACCCTGCTGGCTAGAGAAGCCCCGGTGACTTTGCATCTGCCTGGATCAATTGTGGTAACTGCTGGGTTAGACTGGGCAAGGGTGGAGGGTGCTGAGGGAGCTGACTAACTGGGCATGTCCAGAGGCTGGCTGACCTGACTGGGGTTTCAGCCTGGAGGGGTCCCCAAAGTGCTCATTCTGTCCTCTAGATGCCTGCCAGAGATCTCTACGAAGTCATACTCCTGCTTCATGTCCTTTAGCATGTCCTTTTCCCCCTTAAGAGAAACCTTCTGCAACTTTGGCAAAGTTCTTTTTGTCCTTTCAGCCTTAGCTCAGCCTTCATCTCCTCATTCAGTCAGAAATATTATTTAAACGTCTACGAAGTATCAGGCACTATTCCAGACCCCAAATCTATAGTATGGGCCAGAGTCCTCTTTGGAGCTTATAGTCTAGCATTTATACATTTGTCCATTTTCTGGGGCAGAAAATTTCATCTCCTCTCTTTTGGCTCTGTGCCCCAAGCCCAGGCAGACTACAGACTCCCAGAGGGGTTGCAACCTCTGTGTGGATAGGCACTGGTGCCTGGATTGGGGGTGATGAGATGGCTGTCCCTGCTGGGTCACCCACAGAAAGAGCTCTGGTGCTGCCAGCTCTGAGTGAAGACAGCAGCTGCCGTGCCCTGCTCTGAAACGTCTTGGAGTGTGTGTGTCTGACTGGGACCCTTCTCAAGCCAGCCCCTGCAGAGGAGGAGAGTGATGGTAGAATATGAGCTGGAGGCCACCCTGGGTGTCAGGTGGCAGGGGTTGCAGGGTAGGGAGGAGTAGGAAGGGGCCAGGTGCAGTTTGAGGCATCAGAAAGCAGAGGACTTAGCAGCCAGAACTCATTGCCAGGGGTGGGGAGGCAGGACCATTGTGAGCTTAAGCTCCATGTGCAGGCTCTACTGTCCCCTTGAAACACACATAGAAAATGCACAAAGATACAAATTTTAAGATTTCAAGAGGGCAACTACAGAGCAAGTAAACCCAAGCATAGGGTGCCTAGAACGTAAGGGATGAGCACTCCCCCACTTCTCTTTCTGTCTCTTTCTATCTCTTTTCTACCCCCATTGGTCCCTGAATCCACATGTTAAACAACTGCTCAGGTGATTCGGGTGTGCAGCAAGGGCAGGAGCCATGGTGGCTAAAACTGTGCCATGTGATTAGCTCTTCCCAGGATCTTGCAGAAATCTTTTCCCACAGGGTCCTCAGATCTGCATTGCCCCCTGCAGTATCCAGAGGATTGGGGTGTGGTGTGGTCTCAAGGCACTAAAACTACACATGTCTTTGTTTATCCACGGCTGTCCTCTAAGGAGAATTTCCCTGGGGAAGCCTGTGCCGTGGCCCACACGGGCCTTTGTAGCAGAGAAGGGAGTGAGTGACTTACTCTCCAGATTATAGCCAAGAGTCCTGAGCCTGACCTGGAAGGCTCCTAGGAACTTTCCATGTGGGGACAGAGAGAGAAGAGCATTCTATGCAGTGGGTGTTGTGTGCAGAGACACAGGCTGACTGGGTCAGGGGCAATGGAATGTGGGTGTTCAGAGGCCATGGTGGTCAGGGTGAAGTTGTGCTGGTGGATGAATGTGGAATTAATCTGAGTGCGTGGAAAGGCAGAAGGCTGACTGCTATGCATTTTTGGATGGGGCTCTGCTGACCCATTTCTTAATGTGAAGAAATCCCTTTGCTCCAGTCCTCTCTTCATTGGATCTGTGCCAGCCCAAATTCACTTTGCTGTGTTCTGGAGAACCTGGGGGGCACTATAGGGTTGAATGACACCACCAGGGGTGTCTGATTTATTGATAAAAGCCCCGAGCAGTCCTTTTGGAAGCAGAGTCTGAGGGGCAGCTGGGCTTTCAGCAAGGTAGAGGGACCAGTGAGACCTGCCTCCTCATCCTTCCTGGCTCCTGTGGAGCCCGGCAGAGAGTGTGATTTACAGCTGGCTATGCCTGTTACTAACTATGCTGCCATGAGTAAGTCCCTTACCATCTCTGAGCCTCATTTCTCATCTGCTAAATAGTATCATAAACATTCTTAAGAGTCGTATGTCAGTTAAATGAGACAATGCATATAAAGTGTTTAGCATAGCACCTAGGCCATGGTGAAGATTCCATGTCTTGTAGTTACTGTTACAATCGATACTGTTACTATTTTCAGGCCAAAAAAGGGAAATCCTTTTTGACTCTCAGGGACCTCTGTGTGGTGCTGCTGAGTGGGCAGTGTCTGGAGGTGAAATGTGACATCACATCCACAGCAGGGGCCATCTACAATGCTTTTATATCCTTTGCCAACTTTGGGGAGCTGACCCACTTTGGCTTGGCTTACATGGAAGGTAAGTGTCTCTTGTGTAGCCCACAGCTGTCCTGGTGCCTCAGGTAACCCAAGTGTCTAGGTACTTGAGCAATATTCCTTCTAAAATAACTGGGCTGGGGCATATCACCCTGCACATTTAGAAATTACTTAGCGTGGTGAAGGCCTCAAGTGTTCATGTTCAAAGTGTCAAGTAAGTGCAGAGGATTGTAATGTGTTGAGAACCACCCTGCCTAGTTTCAGGAGCTGTAATCCCCCCATGGCTAAGGCTGAGTGAATGACCTTTGGACCATAAGCCGCTAAGGAGACAAAGCTTATCTCCCTGACAGGAGGGCCACTTCCGCTTCTTTTTTCATAACTGGCCCCCAACCCTTGATCCATTAGCCAATAACGAGTAAGATTCCCCAAGAGGGGAACAACCTAAGACAGGCATGATCACGTGGAGGCCCCAGGGAAGGACTTGGGGGGCTATGGAGAAAGGGGTGATGGACCCTCACCCCCTTCACTTTGGTGAAGCCTGACTCCCCTGAGTCTGTGAGAAGTCTCCAAAAATTCCTCGGCTATCTTCCTCCTCTGCTTGACTTAAGCCTGAAACAATGACAGAGGGTGGTGCAGCCCTGGGCTGGAAAGGGCGGGCTCCCTGTGTGAGGAGGCCTGAGAAAGGATATATAAAATTCAGCGAAGCCTGCTTTGCTAAGAATGCTCTTAGTTAAATGATAAAGGTCCCAGCAGAAAATGAGTTTGTTTCCCAAAGTTTTGTAGCCCTTTAGCTAACAGACCCTGACTCAGAATAGGCCTTCAGAGTTCTTTTTATGCTATCTACTGTTTGATCCTTACTGCCTGACAATGATTAATGAACTTTACCTGTATTCCTGTTCAAACTGAAACCCAATAAAACCCTGTCAGGGCAAGTGTTGGAGTGCTCCCCCATGAGGGAGTAGCCATGTGGTCCCTTTTTCTTCACAGGACTGGTAGTCCTTGTTAATTTGTCTCATATCTCATCCATGACACCAGGGGCACTGCAGTCCAGTGCACACATCAGCTGGCTCCTGGAACAGGGACCTAAGGATTTGGCACCTGCTTTAACCCAGAGGCTATGAGCCATCATTGTAGACAACACACCAGCTTGGTGGGAGTTGGTGCGAATCAGCTCAGGTAAGGGCCAACGACCTCAAGTGCTTTTCAGGAATGTCATAGGGTGTGTTGGATTTCAGAGGAAAAGGATTTTCTTCCCAGGTCTCCCTCTCTTGCGACAGCTTTGCAACTGTACCTTCTTTAGTAAGCAGGAGCCTTACTGTCTCTCCTAAGCATGTGCCTGCCCACTAGGTCTAGGCTTGGGAGAAAAAGCAAAGACTTTCCCTTTATCAGCTTTAAGAATAGCAACTAGTTACAGGGCTATCTACAAGCATATCTGCAAATTGTTTCTTTCAAGCTCCTCTTGTAGTCCTTTTGATTTTTCTTTCTGGCTGCCTGCATAAGGAAAAGCGGATAGTGAATGAGTGTTTTGGTTTGGACCAGACTCTGCAGAATGCTTTCCGGAAGATTTAGTGTTAGTCCTAGTTTTTGTATGAGAGATTTTGGCATTTGCTGAGCTCCAAAGACAAAAGGCACTTCCTATCCTTAGCTCAAGAACTTGAATGTTTTCACGGGAGTCAGAACCTCTTGAGGGTGTCTGGGATAAATCCCCAAAATGTGAAGGGGCCTTATAGGGACCTCCAACACCACCTAATCTAACTTCTGGCTTGTCTGGGGAAGTGACACTTGAAGGTTGGTCATCTAGTGCTTCCAGCCTCCTCTCTTAGTCTTAAACACTTGGGGGAGATCCTGAAACCCATAAGCAGGGTTGGGGTATGAGGAAAGTCCAGCTCCTCCCTGACTGTCTTACACCAACAGCACATTTCTGACCCACTACTTTCTTTTCACAAATAAGAAGTAGGATTTAAAGGTGCAGGTGGAGTGAAAGTAAAACTGAAACTGGTTTGGTAATTGCTGTGCTTGTGGTGGGAGGAATTTCAAAAAAAGTTCATTTATTTGTTAAGGAATTTCTTGAAAGGTTTCTAAGAATCCTCAACCATGGGGAACAAGCTCTCTAAGGACTAAGAGCAATGTTTTAAGCTAGTTCAGCAGGTATGGGGCTGCTAAATATCTCCCTGATAAGGGATCTTTAGACATAGTTATTTAGGAAAAAGTTGGGCAGAAGTTGATACAACACTAGGTGGTGTGGGATAAGATTCTAAGGTTAATGTCTCATTCCGTCTTTTAGAGGATTTAATTAGAAAATAATTATGGGGGTCCGAGTCCAGTCCCTGTTCTAAGCGCCAGATGTGGCAGCGACTACTTCGAGAGGTCCCCCCGGTGCCACGGGCACGCATGAGTGAATAAATGTGGCTGAGACAAGATGAGATCTGTTTGGGGATGGAGGAGTGGGCTGTGGCCAGTTTCTCTGGGGAGAAAGAGACCAGCAGCGGCCAGTTTCTCCGAGGAGAAAAAGGCCTCGAGGGCCTTCTTCTATAGCCTTTTATTGGGTTGTAATACACAGGAATACAGGGCGACAAGGATCAAACAGTAGATAACATTACAAAGGTCTGAGGGTTTCAGTCTGAGTGAGTGTCTGTCAGGAAGTGAGCTGCAGAAACTTTGGGAGACATACTCATTTCCTCTCGGACCCTTATCATATGAATGAAAGCACTCTTAGCAGAGCAGATTTCACAGGCTTATCAACAAGTCTTTGTGGTGCCAGATTTTTCCCCAGGGCTCGCTCTGGCCAGGCAAAGAGCTGTACCTCTCCCCATCAGGTATTCAGGCTTTAGGGGATTAGAGGCAGGAAGTGCTTCTCCCAGAGAACATGGAGACTCGGGCTTTGACAAAGCTGGGGGGCGAGAGTCCATTGCTCTCTGTTGCAGCCCCCTGAGTCCTTCCATGAAGGCCTCCCAGGTGATCGAGTCTGGCTTAGGTTGCCCCCTGCTGTGAGGGGTCTTACCTGTCATTGACTTCTGACCAAGCTCTGGGGGTAGGGAGAGGAACTGAGGCAGCATTTGCTACCAGAGACAGGCTCTGTCTCCTGTGGCTGGCATTCCAAAGGTTGTCTCTTGCCCTCAGCCACAGGGGGTAGAGATACAATTCCTAAAATCAGGCAGAGTGGTCTACTACAAATAATGGTTTGCCTGAATTTTGTTTTTGTTTTAAAAGGAACAGTTCATTTTCAAAGTATTTTGCTAAACCTCTGGTAAATAGAATAAGATCTCTAATCTTGTTACATCATAAGGATTCTACTCAGAAAGAATTTAAATTGATTGTTTAAAGAAGGAAAAAAGATTTCCCTCAGACAGTAAAAAGCACAGAAAGAAAAATAATGAGAAAATGTGTCTTTTAAACACTCTGAATCCTCCTTCTGGAGGCCCAGAGACTGCCTTAGTCCTAAGAACAAGGCGTGTGAAGTGTAACATTAATGAAATCATACCTCTAAGATCTTGTGCATTTCTGTGATTTGCCGGGTCTGGTTGGCTGATATCAATGTACTGATAAGCAAATGTTAAAAATGTTAAAATGGAAGGACTTCCGCCAAGATGGAGGTTTAGGTGGATGTGCCGTGCCGTGCCTCCTCACACAACCAAGTTTAGGGACAACTAAATATTAGCATCAGAAAACACAACCAGAACACGGAAAACTGAACTTTTCAGAAGTCCGCTAACAACAAATTCTTCGGCCCGACCGGTAAGGGGCGAAACGGGCGTCTGGTGAGGAGCTGCAAGGGAGGGCTCGGTCGGACCCGGGTGCGGAATCCAGATGCGCGAATCCAGACGCACGGGTTCCAAACCCAGGATTGGACCTAGTGAGCAACCGAGCAACCCACCGGGTGAGCGACTGCAGAGGAGACAGTGGGGAGGCGGTGTAGCGAGTTGACTGCGGTTGCCTAATTGCGCGCGAGCGAGGGAGTGGGCGGTTGGACCGGCCTGAGCGGCGATAGAGGGCGCCGCCATTTCCCCGCTCTCACCACGCCCCCACATACAGGGTCACAACCCAGCGACCTGGGAGTCCAAGGCGCAGTTTCTCACATTTAAAGGGCCAGAACAGACCAAATATGTCGCAGGGAGACCTCAAAGCCCCAGAGATAAATCTAAGCGACGAAGAAATAGCAAAACTCTCAGACGCACAGTTTAAAACACTGGTCATTAGCTTCCTCACAGATCTGGTTGATTATAGCCACAAATTAGAGAAACATATGAAGGCTAAATTAAGGGAAATGAATGGAATTCCACAGGAAACCCATAGATATGAAAAGGAAACTGGGACTCAAATCAATGGAGTGGACCAGAAGAAACCAAATAATGGCCAAACAGAAAAGAGTCAAGGAGCAAGAATTCAAAGAAATGAGGAGAGTCTTAGGAACCTCCAGGACATCTTTAAACGCTCCAATATCCGAATTATAGGGGTACCAGAAGGGGGAAAGACACAACCACCAGTGGAAAAACTATTTGAACAAATAATAAAAAGAAAATTTCCCCAATCTGGCAAAGGAAATAGACTTCCAAGAAATCCAAGAAGCCCAGAGAGTACCAAAAAAGTTGGACTCAAGAAGAAACACACCAAGGCATATCATAATTACATTAGCCAAAATTAAAATGAAGGAGAGAATCCTAGAAGCAGCAAGAGCTAAGGGGACAATCACCTACAAAGGAGTCCCCATCAGACTGTCAGCAGATTTCTCAAAAGAGACCTTACAGGCAAGAAGGGGCTGGAAAGAAATATTCCAAATCATGAAATCTAAAGACCTACAACCAAGATTGCTCTATCCAGCAAAACTTTCATTTAGAATGGAAGGACAGATAAGGTGCTTCTCAGATAAGACCAAATTCAAAGAGTTCATCATCACCAAGCCCTTATTATATGAAATGTTAAAGGGACTTATCTAAGAAAAAGAAGTTAAAGAAACATGAACAGAGAAAGAACAACAAGCTCACAGTTATTAACAACCACACCTAAAACGAAAGCAAACTAAAAGAACAGCTAGATCAGGAGTGGAAATATAGAAATGAAGATCTCAAGGAGGGTTAGCAATAGGGGAGTGGGAGGAGGAGATGGGGGGAGAAGGTACAGAAAATAAGTAGCATAGACAGTAGATAGAAAATAGATGGGGGGGGGCAAGAATAACATGGGAAATATAGAACCTAAAGGACTTGAGACACATGGACATAAACTAAAGGGGGGTAATGGTGGGGTTGGGGGGGCAGGGTGGAGGGGAATGAAGGGGGGAATAGAACAACTGTAACAGCATAATCAATTTTAAAAAATAAATTAATTTTTAAAAAATGTTAAAATGTTAAACCCATTTCCATCTAGGTGGGAATATAAAATGGTGCAGCTACTATGGAAAATAGTATGCTTGTTCATCAAAAAATTACAAATAGATTTTCCATATGACCCAGCAATTTTACTTTTGCATACATACCCAAATAATTGGAAACAGATTTCTCAGAGATTTTTGTACACCTATGTTTGTTTGTAGCAGCATTATTCACAGTATCACAGTAGTTAAAGGACACTTGTGGTAGCAACCCAAGTGTCCATTGATGTTTAAATGGATAAGCAAAATGTGGTATGTATATACAATAGAATATTATTCAGCCTTAAAAAGGAAGATAATTCTGTCAAATGCTGTAACATAGATAAAACCTGAGGACATTGTACTAAGTAAACTAGTTGCAAAAAGATAAATACTGTATGATCTCACTTATAGAAGTGAGGTACCTAGAGTAGTCAAATTCATAGAAACAAAGTGGAATGGTAATTGCCAGGGGCTGGGGAAGGTCGGGTGGGGATTTATTGTTTAATGGGCACAGACCTGCAATTGTGAAAGATGAAAGGGCTTGGAGATGAATGGTGGTGATGGTTGTTCAACAGTGGGAATGTACTTAATACCACTGAACTGTACATTTAACTACAGTTAAGATGGTAAATTTTATGTTATATGTATTTTATCATGATAAGAATTTTTAAATATTCATCTAATCATTCAGTATTAATGGGAAATCAGTACCCTAACCCTAAGTTAAGAATGAGTTCTGAAGATCCAAAGAAAAATGTTTCTATGCCTTCTTTTCATCTCTGCCCTTCCATTAAGTGACTCTTTATTTCAATCAACCCCAAATGTCCTTTTGCTATAGTTGAAGTGCTTTATCCACTATGTGGAATAATGGGAAGGAAGCTGAGATGGGAACATGTGGGCCTTCAAGGTTAAATACTGGCTCTCCCAGCCCACCTTGCTAGGTGTCATAATCTTGGTGTTCTTCTTCTCTTCCTCCTCCAGTGAGCGAAGCTCATAAGCTTACTGTGGGATCATCCTGTATGCCACAGAGGTTTAGGAGGGTGGCCTTATCTCCCCATAGTTCTCTGCAGACCTGTGAAAAGTTTCTTTCCCAAGTTAAAAGCATTACATGTTTTGATGTGATCAATTGATGTTTCCTCAATCTTTAGAAAAATGTGAATAGAAGAATCTTTAGGAAGCATTGTATTTTTATTGATCTGTAATATGCAATCTAAATAAAACCAGTGAGCTTGCTCTGGGAGTAGTACACCATAGGGCTTACCTGCTACTGCCACCTCCTGGTCAGGTGCTGGCCCTAGGACCCCTCCCATTTGACATTAGCTGTTTAGCTGGGGCCTCCTGGGTAAATCACTCAAAAGTGGCCAGTCTGGGATTTGGCTATAAACCTACTAGGGAGGGTTTGCCAGGCAAACGGAAGCAGGGACCTACCATTCCCTGAGGAGAAGTGACCCTGAGGGAAGGGTGAGATGGTATGGGGACTCAGATTCAGCTGCAAGGAAGAGGAGGTTTTTTGAGTTTTTTTTTAAATGACATTTCCATATTTATTTACTGAGATCTGGTACTTTTGCATTTTCAAGAGCCTCTTGTGCCCCCTCCCCAATATGGGTAGTAAATGTGGTGAAAGTTAGTTGACATACACTCTAGGAAGCCGTTAATCGGGATCATTATGTTCATTCTTGTCTTTTTAAAAAATCTGTATGTCCCTAAAATGTTCTAATTTTGCTTAGAACTTAAATTTGCATATATATATATATATATGATTTTATTTATTTATTTTTAGAGAGGAGAAAGGAAGGAGAAAGAGAGGGAGAGAAATATCAATCCGTGGTTACCTCTTGCGCCCCCTACTGGGGACCTGTCCTGCAACGCTGGCATGTGCCCCAGACTGGGAGTCAAACGGGCAACCCTTTGGTTTGCAGGCCAGCACTCAACCTACTGAGCCAGACCAGCCAGGGCTGCTTTTATATTTTTAATTATTTTCATTAAGTTAAACCATTAAGAAAACATTTTGCTAACTTGGAATTAATATATATGTCAAAATAAGACATTGGGCACTGTGTAGTGACTGTTAACTTGAACTTTTCTGGACACCTCTTTCCCTCCCCCAATCATGCATATACATGCCTTTGGAAGGGAAGGCTGGTACCTGCTTAAGGCTTTGCCTTACAAAACTTGGCAACACTCCTGTGGCCAGGAAACCTGCTATAGGAGCATCTCTGTGCTGAGAGAACAGAGCATAGAGAAGGCTGTGGGGCAGAGTAGGCCTGGGGCAGATCTGCAGGAGGCCTGGGGGAGTGGCCAGGGCACCCAGGCAGTGGGGAGGGGATCTGTTTGCCCCAAAGAGTGCAGGGGTAGAGGCAGGGCCATCAGTGGCTGCGGCCAATTCAACCTCCTTCCCAGAGGTGCTAAGTACAAACAACAGGAGTTGAAGTCCTGAGCTTGGATTGGTAGAGTTTTTAAGCTGGCAACATTTAGGTCAAAAAGCAAATGTAACTCCATTTATTGCCCTGTCTTGGTCAGCTCGGGCTTCGAAAACAAAATGCCGCATACTGGGTGACTTAAACAACATTTACCTCTCATATTTCTGGAGCCTGGGAAGCCCAAGATCGGGGTTTGATCCTGGTCAGGTTTAGGGATGTCTCTCTGGCTTAGGCAGTCTCCTTCTCACTGTGTCTTCACACAGCAGAGAGAACTCTGGTTTCTTCCTCTTTTTGTTACATTATCCCACAATGATGGTCTACTCTTACCACCTTAACTAAATCTAATCACCTTCCAAAGGCCCCACCTCCAAATACCATCTCATGGAAGGTTAGGGCTTCAGTCTATGAATTTGGGGGAGACACATTCAGTTCATAACATACCCATGGCTGGGGATGCTTGGGGACCATCCAGTTGATGAAGAGGGCCTGGCCTATGGCAGGGATGGGATAAATACTCATTCCTTTGTTTTTCTTTTTATCTCCATGAGATGGTAGCTGGAAAGCAGATAATAGTGATGTCTTCTCTAAGATGAATAATCACGTTTTCTCTTTTGCTGCCAACTTTCTCCTCCTTGACTCTCTCCTCTTTGTCTCCTACTGCAGACCCTCACAGACCCAGAAAATCCCCAATGATAGCAGGTGTGCAAAGAATTTGCTTCCTGCTCTCTCCTGTAATGAGACAGCTCTTGTCCCACATTCTGGGCAGGGCTCAGGGCTATGGATCTGAGAGGTGGAGCCTGCCTGACTTCTTTTCTCTCCAAATATTCTCTACTTCCATTTCAGGCAGAGTTCTTTTTACTGGCTGATGAAACCAGTTTGTGCAAAATAGCCCTTAAAGGATGGGGTAAGCAACCACAGACGACCTACTGGAGTACCTTCATACTCTTCCTGAGGATCAAGTTCTTTGTCAGTCACAGTGGGCTGCTCCAGTGAGTTCTACAGACGTATTGCATTGTTCATTAAGGGATAGGCACATCCAGGCTGACATTAGAGGTGATAATTAGAGGCAAGTGCTCGGTGAACTTTAACTTGTATATAAATAATGATTATTGTGGTTGATCTTCTATTGACTGGATTCCAATATGATAGGAAAGTGGGGAAAATCAGTGTTTAGGAGAAAGGTCTGGTCAAAATGAGAATTTGCTTTTTTGTTTCAAATATATTTCACTTCAGGTCAAAATTCTATCTCCCCTGACCTACGTGCTCCTTCCCAAGCAGCCTAGTCATGAAGGTTGGAGGATAGGGTCATGGCTTTGGAGTTTAGTCATTGCTTCTTTGTTCTGTAGCTCACTAGAAAAACCACCCAACTGAATGTCAGGTTTTTTCACTTGAACCACAGCAACAAACATATCCATGGGTGTAAGTACATGGTACAGAGTTGCTTTCACCTAGAGGCAGGAGACATGGTGTAGATAAAGAAGACCACACTTGTCTTACTGGCATTGCCCTCTGGGTAGTATTTGTGTGTATCCTATCTTCTCTCCTTTCCCTGTTTTCCAGACTGAGAAAACCCTCTCAACATTCCAGTGGCATTTATTTCTTCTTTTCTTTCTAATGCAGAGCTGGACAAGACATCAATTTCCCCTGTAGCTTCAGAAAGACATCCTGGAGGAGAAGTGTACTGCAATGATGAGATGCTGCTGCAGCTGGGAGTCCTGGCCCTGCAGGCTGAGTTTGGCAGTTACCCTGAGGAGGTAGAGGAGGAAAGCTGGGGCTCTTGATAGGGTCAGCACAGAAGCAATTATGGGACAAAAGGAAACTGTTGAAAATGTGGAGACTACGAAGTATTGTTAGCATGTACAACTTAGATATGGGTAACCATCCATCCACCCACCCATCCATCCATGCATCCATCCATGCATCCATACATCCAATCAAGTGATCTTTGTGAGGCTCTGATGGATACAAAGATGAACAAGTCAAGTTTATATATTACAATGTAGTTCTAGTCTAAGATTCCTCCTAAAGACAGTAATTTACTAATTTATTTGGTTCCCATCATCATCATTATCATCAATATCATCATCAATTAACAGCCCACCTTTATTAAGAGATCACTATGTACCTGCCATTGAGCTAGAGATTTTCTACATTAACTCATTTATTTAACCATCAAAACAACATTGCAAGGTTGATACTCACATTTTCTGGAAGAGCAATTTGAGACTCATGTGCCAAGAAAATGGCAAAGTCTAAATTTGAGCCCAGGTCTATCTGCCTCCAAGGCCAGTGCTGTTTCTGCCAGATCTGCTGCCTCTCAAATAGCAGCTCTAACCTTGCTGGCCAAGCCCTTGTCCCTGCGGCACAATCATATGTAAGTTTTTTTGGTTTAATTTGTTTCTGATTGTCCTATGTTACAGCCTTCAAAACTTAGTAGGGGATACTGGTTATTTAATTTGCAAATACATCAATGTAGAGAGGGATAATGCTAATATATTTTTAACTTAATTAGGATTTAAAATAGAGGTGCCAGGCAGGAAGGAAGGAACAACCAGGTGAGCTATGACAGAGAACACTGCAGCTTTCTCTTGGATTCCTGAAGGTCACCCACCCATGTTCAAAATAAAGGGGTATGGGAGGGTCTGTTTATACCTCAATGAAAATCTAAACAGTGTGACATGGCATCCGAATGTGGAGTCTGTCTCTGGCTGCATCAGTAGGAGCAGAGAGGGAAGAGGAGTAGAGGTAAAGGTCTCACCAATGTCTTCCCAGGTGACTTCTCAGCCAGTGCACTAGTTTTAATCTTGGAGGGAATCACCACTACCATGTTATAAAAACCAAGAGCCTCTGAGGGTACTTAACCTGGAGAAGAGATGCTCTAAAGAGGACATGAGAGCTGAGTGATAGAAGGGTCCCTTGCCTGAAAGAAAAAATGAGGTTTAACACATATGGCCTTGGGCCTTTGAATGCTTTCCCGGTAGGGTCTACATTTTCATCCTGATCTCACCCACCCACCAAGATCAATCCAATCCCAACCCCACAGCTTTCCTGGCCTCCCCACCTATGGGAGGAAATTCTCCCCATATTCTCTGGACCCTTGTGTACATTTCCCCCACACTTCTTGTCCAGGACAGGTGACCACTCAGTATTCTCAATAGCCAGTGACAGGAAAGCTCACCTGGCTTAAATAAAACATGTAATTTATTGGCTTGCAAAACTGAAGTGTCCAGGCCTTCCTGCCCCTTGGACAAGCCTCCAGTCCTATCACTGCTTACCTTGTAGCTACCTCCTGTCTCCTTGGCCCCTAGGTCTCCACAGTCTCCTGGTCTTTGCCTGGGGATTGCTGGGTGCACAGACCCAAATGGCATCAGCAGGACTTGGATGTCCTTCATCTCTAAGTTATGTACTATCCTCAATCAAGTTTCCTTTCAGCGGCTCTAGATTCCATCCTCCAGGTTGCAGCCCAGCACCAAAGGGAGAGGCCCTCTCCCAGTAATGCAATGGAAATCCTGTTCTATCTCACTGGTTCTGACAGGTCATGTGCCCACTCTAAGCTAATCACTGTGAAGCGAGATGCTATGCTCTGATTGGTTGCACTTAAGTGATACTGCCACTCTAGGGGTTAGGGGTAGAACTAACACTAAGCAAAATGCTTGCACTGACAGGGAGAAGGGTGGTTTCCATTTCCAGAAAGGAGGGGCACAGTTGTACATTACCAAAAACATATGTCCCACCAACCAGTGAGCACTCATGGTGAGGAATGCTACATCCTTGGTAAACAAAGGAGATGCATTTTGCTAAAGTTCTGAGTCTGCTGGAGACATCTGGGTGTGGCCTTGTGTTATGCATTGAATTATATTCCCCACAGTTCATATGTTGAAGCCCTAACTCCCGATACCCCATAATGTGATTTTCATTGGAGAAGGGTCTTTAAAGTGGTTATTAAATTAAAGTCAGGCTGTCTTGGTGGGCTCTAATCTAATCTGACTGGAGTCTTTATAAGAAGGGGGGGATTAGGACACACAGAGGGACACCAGGGAGGCAGGCGTCCAGCCGAAAGACTATGAGAAGACACAGCAAGAAGGTGGCTGCTTGCAAGTCAAGGTAAGGCCTCAGAAAAACCAATCCTGTTGAGAATTTGGTTTTGGATTTCTGACCTCTAGAACTGTGAATTAGTTTATGTTGTTTAAGCCACTTAGTCTGTTGTATTTGTTGTGGCAGCCCCAGAAAACTAATATACCTTGAGTCTGCAGCCATCACCAAGTGTTGCTACCTTCACAGCATTCTCTGTTCTTAGTTCTCATGTAATGTGGGTTGGAGAGGGCAAGGCTGTGACCTCAGTCACAGTTTGTCTTTTCTGTCCCAGTAACTGGGTTTAAGGGTGAGGTCAAGTTAAAAAATTAAAATGGCTATTTGAGAACACTGGCTTACAAATGTTCTATGCCATGACCCATTATAGAAAAAATTATAGATGTTATAACCCAAAACACACATATGTATGTATCACAGAACTGAGACAAAAAATTAGGAAATAATATGCACCATTTCTATATGTCTTGACATTGGTATTTCCTATTGTATTCTAGTTAATTTAAAATTTTCTGGTTATGCCATACACCAAAATAAATTCAAGGTGGATAAAAGACTTAAATATAAGCTGTGAAACCATTAAAGTCCTAGAGGAGAACATTGGCAAGAAAATCTCAGATATTTCACGCAGCAACATTTTTACTGATATGCCCCCTAGAGCAAGGAACATAAAGGAAAGAATAAACAAATGGGATCTCATCAAAATAAAAAGCTTCTGCATGGCTCAAGAAAACAGTACTAAAATAAAAACACAACCAACTGTATGGGAAAACATATTTGTCAATGATACCTCAGACAAAGGTTTAATTTCCTAAATATACAAAGAATTTACACAACCTCACTCTCAGAAGACAACTAACTCAATTAAAAAATGGGAAAAGGACCTGAACAGACACTTCTCCAAGGAGGACATACAAAGGATCCAGAGTCACATGAAAAGATGGTCAATATTGCTAGCTATCAGAGAGTTGCAAATTAAAACCACAATGAGATACCACTTTACAACAGTCAGAATGGTTATCATAAACAAAGCAACAAACAACAAATGTTGGAGAGGTTATTGAGAAAAGGGGTCCCTAGTTTACTGTTGGTGGGATTGCAGACTGGTACAACCGTTATGGAAAACAGTATGGAATTTTCTCAGAAAAATAAAAATCGACCTGCCTTTTGACCCAGCAATTCCACTGCTGAGATTATATCCTAAGAACCCTAAAACACCAATCCAAAAGAACCTATGCACCCCAATGTTCATAGCAGCACAATTTGCAATAGCCAAGAGCTGGAAGCAACCTAGGTGCCCGTCAGTAAATGAATGGATCCAAAAATTATGGTACATATACACAATGAAATTCTATGCAGCAGAAAGAAAGAAGGAGCTCCTACCCTTTGCAACAGCTTGAATGGAACTGGAAAGCATAATGCTGAGTGAAATATGCCAGGCACTGAAAGACAAATATCAGCTTCCTTTAATAGGAAGCTAAACAACAAAATAAACAAGCAAGCAAAATAAAAACAATGACACTGAAACAGAGAGCAGGGGGACAGTGACCAAAGGGGAGAAGAGGGAATTTCAGGGGAAAAAGGGGAAGCATTTGCAGGAACTAGTATAAAGGACACATGGAAAACAACTAAGGGGGGTGGAAATGGGAGAAAGGTGGGGAGCACGGGGGGGTTGGGATGGGAGTAAAAGACAGAAAACTGTACTTAAAAATAATTAAATAATTTAAAAAAGATTTACAAATTTTCTGGTTAGGAACCACTAAATTGATTTCATAATTGCCATTTGCAAAAAACACTTTTCAGACTATATTAGTATCATCTTGCTTTCCTCCCAGTACATCTTCAGAAGAGGCTGCTGTGTCTGGGGTCTTCAAAGTTCCTCTTTATCCTCTCACACAGCTGTATTTGTCATTGTAGTAGACTGCTCTGCCTGATTTTAGGAATTGTATCTCTACCCCTTGTGGCTGAGGGCGAGAGATGACCTTTGGAATGCCAGCCACAGGAGACAGAGCCTGTCTCTGGTAGCAAATGCTGCCTCAGTTCCTCTCCCTGCCCCCAGAGCTTGGTCAGAAGTCAATGACAGGTAAGACCCCTCACAGCAGGGGGCAACCTAAGCCAGACTCGATCACCTGGGAGGCCTTCATGGAAGGACTCAGGGGGCTGCAACAGAGAGCAATGGACTCTCGCCCCCCAGCTTTGTCAAAGCCCAAGTCCCCATGTTCTCTGGGAGAAGCACTTCCTGCCTCTAATCCCCTACAGCCTGAATACCTGATGGGGAGAGGTACAGCTCTTTGCCTGGCCAGAGCGAGCCCTGGGGAAAAATCTGGCACCACAAAGACTTGTTGATAAGCCTGTGAAATCTGCTCTGCTAAGAGTGCTTTCATTCATATGATAAGGGTCCGAGAGGAAATGAGTATGTCTCCCAAAGTTTCTGCAGCTCACTTCCTGACAGACACTCACTCAGACTGAAACCCTCAGACCTTTGTAATGTTATCTACTGTTTGATCCTTGTCGCCCTGTATTCCTGTGTATTACAACCCAATAAAAGGCTATAGAAGAAGGCCCTCGAGGCCTTTTTCTCCTGGGAGAAACTGGCCGCTGCTGGTCTCTTTCTCCCCAGAGAAACTGGCCAAAGCCCACTCCTCCATCCCCAAACAGATCTCAT